TAAGAGTGACCCTAGCGAGGACTCCTAGTAAAGAGGATACAGAGCCTGAGGTGCCATCTTCGGTAACCAGGCAACTGGGACACCACCCCACACACAAGACCTTCGATCTGTCCTGCCTGCAAGATGTGCTGGGGCAACGGAGGCACAGACCTTGTGGGAGTGGCCAACCAATGACTGGTCTAATTGGAGGCCCCTCCCACAAGAGGAAGCCATCCAGGCAGTGCCTGGATGGCCAGGAACCAGAGGCTGGATAGCCCAGAGACCTAGGATAGGGAGAAAATAATCAGTAAAATGATTCCTAATGATGTTCTGCTATACTCATGGATCCGTGCTTAGCCCAGTCATCATCAGAGCGGCTTCCTCCAGCAGCTGATGGGAGCAGATGCAGAGAGACCCACAGCCAAACATGAGGCGGAGAGAGAGCCCAAATTGGAGATCTCCATCAGGTCCTTCCCTTGGAGCTCGGGGAACCCCCTGGAAGAGGCCGGGTGGGAATTGTAGGAGCCAGATGGGTTGAGGACACCAGGAGAACGTGGCCCACAGAATCCACTAAGCAGGACTCACAGAGACTGAGGCGGCAACCACCGCTGCATGGGTCTGCACTGGGTCCTCTGCATGTATGCTGTGGTTATTAGCTTGGCGTTTTGTGGGACTCCTAACAGTGCGGTTGATATCCCTGGGAGGCCTACTCTTTTCTAAAGGGAAAGGGAGCAGAGTGGAACTGGGGGAGAGAACTGGGGGAGAGTTGAGTTGGGGGCGGGGCTGGTGGAGGGAGGGGAGACTGTGGTCGGGATGTATTGTATATGAGGAGAATAAAAAAGGACGTATTTATTTATGTGTATATTTGTGTGAATATATGCCACCTGTGTGTGGGGATCTGTGGCGGGCAGAGGAGGATGACAGATCCCCTGGGGCTGGAGTCACAGGCAGCTGTGAGCTGCCATGTGGATGCTGGGAACCAAAGTCATGTTCTGAGGAAGAGCAGCAAGGGCTTTGAACCGGGAGCCATCTCTTCAGTCCCACAGCAAAGATATTTAAATGTAGGCTTAAATATGAGAGTTTAGAGAGCGCGAGGCGCCCAGAAGGCAGCAAGACACACAAGAGCATGAGTGTGAGCCTCTCCAAGAGTTGCTGACCCACTGTGATGGCTCAGGAGGTTAAGGTGCCGGTCACCAAGCCTGACGACCTGAATCCCATGTCCTGGACCCCTGGTGGAAGGAGAGAATCAATTCCAGCAAGCTGTGTTCTGACCTTCACACCCACGCTGTTGTACACACACACACACACACACACACACACACACACACACACACACACAGATTAAAGAAGAGTCTTAGAAAGTTGCAAGCACAAGGCCCTGGGTTCAATCCTCAGCTCAAAAAAAAAAAAAAAAAAAAGAAAGAAAGAAAGACATTAAGGGCAGATACAGACTCCTGAAGGAGAGTCACCCCTCACTGTTTCTATGTACCCATATACAGGATTGTTGGTAGGGACTGAATTATCTTTAAAAGACGACAAGGGAGGCCACAGGGCCGCTCTAGAGGGCACTGGGCAGGATTATAGATAAGATCCCCAGAAGTAGGGATCCATCTTTACTGCAAGCAAAGATTATCAGGTGTTGTCTGGGGAAAGGCAAGAGGTTCCATCCAAGGTCAAACACATTCAGACATTAAGCCTAATTCACTGTTACTGTGACACAAGAAATCTAAATATACAGAAGGAATATGACTCTGTTTGGCAGGTTTTTGGTTTGGTTTTGGGGTTGTTTTTGTTTTGTTTTGTTTTGTTTTGTTTTGTTTTGAGACAGGGTTTCTTTGTGTAGCTCTGGCTGTCATGGAACTTGCTCTTTAGACCAGGCTGGCCTCAAACCTCGTAGAGATTTGCCTGCTTCTGCCTCCTGAGTGCTGGGATTAAAAGGGTGTGCCGCCGCTGCCGCCACCTCCTGGTTTTTCGATAGTTTTTTTTTTTTTTTTTTTACAGCAAATGTTATTAACTGTGCCAGAATGTTTTCTTGCTTCTCAGGTAGGAAGAGGCTTCTCCAGGGTGAAGAAACTTCTCCTGCCTGGAAACTGTGGCTATCGCTCAATGGCAGAGTGCTTCCTTAGCATGCAAAAGACCCTGGGTTTATTCCCAGGACTGCAAAAACCACTGGAACAAACAAACCAAACCATCAAGTATCAGTCACTGGGAAACATATACCTGGAACTCAGAACTCAGAAGAACTCTAACAAGCGAGGCTTGGTCCTCAATAGGCCAATAAACTGACAGGTAATAGAAAATCAGAGGAATGAACTTTATTTGATGTGGCCACACTGGGAAGAAAAAAACCAAAGAGATCCAGTGCCCCCTGGATCCTCTGGGTACTGACATTAGGCTTAGGTTTAAATAAAGGGCAGAGTTATGTATAGCTAAGTAGTCCAGGTCCCCAAGAGGTTCTGCCCATCACTGCCTAACACTGGCTAGCCTCCAGTTTCTCCTGGTAAATTGTCAGAACTGTGTGGCATCTCCCTGGGAGACAAGCTAGTGCCAGTCTTGCCCTTCTTCGAGCAGGAGATTCTAAGGGAAATGTCTCTTCCTGGGAGACCATTGTTTCCATAATCTGATAACAGATGTGAAAGGCACAAGTGTCTTTAGAAAATCTACACTCTCGGTGGTGGCTCACGCCTTTAATCCCAGCACTTGGGAGGCAGAGACAGGTGGCTCTCTGTGAGTTCAAGGCTGCTGCAAGCCACAGAAATATGAAGTAGGAATTCAGTTAACACTAGCAAAGCTGTACCTGGAAGAGCCAAGGGGTATTCCAGAGGATAATGCCAAAACTCAATGGGGTATTGGTGATCCTGGCTTTTTAATGTATTAGCTATATCCTGCAGCGAATTTCTTGTGTGCTATTGTAGCTTTTCCATTTGATTCTTTTCCCAAGAACTTCTAATAGTGTGGTTGATCATCCATTGGGGACAATTTCCCCTGTACTATTGGGGTATTTGGATAACATCCCCTGACTGTGTTGACAGCAGTCACACAGTCAAGACCCCCTTTTTCAGGCCTTTGTCCTCCCTTTTGGCATTAGACTCAGAATTCTGTCTTTCTGTAATTATCTTCATTAGCAAACATCTGGCCAGAGCCATCTCTGGACAAAAGTATTTTATCTGAGATACTTCTCAAATACCCAAGGACAGACTGCAGATAGATAGCATTCAGACTATCTGCCAGTTCCTGAGATACTGTAAACACTTACCCCAAGACAACCGCCAAGACTAGGCAGATGTTAGATACAAAGTTTTGTTTCTTGTGCAAATGAAGCTTAATTCCTTCTTTTTCCCATAGCCCAAATGTTATCCTTGGTTCCAAAGACTCCCCCTTTAGCCTTAGCTCAGAACAGAAGGGCTTCTACAAACCAGGTGCATCATGCGGTGATGCAGGTTGCCTAGCAACCCAGAACACTTCCCCTGCCAGCAGATGGGAAAGTGCTGCCCCAAGCTAACATTTTTGTTTGTTTGTTTGAGACAGGGTTTCTCTGTGGAGCTTTGGAGCTTTGGAGTCTATCCTGGAACTCACTCTGTAGACAAGACTGGCTTTTTTTTTTTTTTTTTCTCGAGATAGGGTTTCTCTGTGTAGCTTTGCGCCTTTCCTGGAACTCACTTGGCTGGCCTTGAACTCACTCAGCCCCCTGAGTGCTGGCATTAAAGGCGTGCGCCACCACTGCCCGGCCAAACTAACAAATTCTTAACTCCTTTTACTTTCACCTTGGTTTACTAAAAGCTTACTAACTAACCACACTTAGGAATGCAGTATTACATACGGATCCCCCCTTTTCCCTTCTTTGATTTCCCTTAATTGATTCTAGGTCCTTCTTCCTCTCATTTGACCTTGTCCCCAATTCCAGAAGAATTAGGTCTCACCCCACAAGCTTTTCTCTTCCTGGTTCCCTCTTCTAATTAACTACTCAGCTAATTGTTACAAGATCACCATAGAGAGGCAGGCAGATCTCCGTGAGTTCGAGGCCAACCTGGGCTACAGAGTGAGTTTCAGGAAAGGCGCAAAGCTACACAGAGAAACCCTGTGTGTGGGGGGGACAAACAACAACAACAACAAAAAAAAAACAAAAAAAAAAAAACAAGATCACCATAGAGGTGCAGTCCAAGGACCATCAGATATACCCAGGTGATAAGGAACAGTAACAGTTAAAAGGTATTTACACCCCCCAGGCCAAAAAGGGTCTGGGCTCTGCAAAAAACTGACCTTAATATAGCAATCTATTACTGTTAAATGCTCTCAACAGTTGATCACCTGTGTCTCCTGATGCTAAACTAATAAAGGAAACAGGTGCTTTAAAATAATCTGTCTCTGATAAAGGTTATCTCAGGTAAAAATGAAAAACATTATTCTTTCTCTCTCTCTCTCTCTCTCTCTCTCTCTCTCTCTCTTTCTCTCATTAACATTAACCAATATAAGCAGAGTACTATTCACTACAATGGTCACCAGCCCAAGACTTTAATTTTCTCATGGCTTCTTCTTAATATGTTCAAAAATTTTCCAGGCTTGAATCTACCTGGACAGCACCTTGTCAGACGATTTCCAAGGCAGCAGACAACCCCAGGACACCTGTCTACCTCAGAAGCCCCCTTCCCTACCCTCGAAGAGTCAACCAACGCCCACCAAGTCATCTGGAAGCAGTTTTTCAGGGAGAAACAATGCCCCTATTCCTGTTCACCCGCTTTCTTTATAATAAACAAAAAGTCTGAAATGTTAGGATTACTGCCACTACTCCAGCTGCATGAACACACATGCGCAGTTTTCAGTAGTTAAGTAAGGGGTCTTAGTCTTGCCTCTTCAGTGCACTGCATAATCTCGGTCACGCAATCAGCGCATGTGTGGCATAGCTCTGTAAGCCTACCTGTGCGTGTGCACAGGAATCCTTAAAAAGCAGGACACAGACTCCTCTCTTCTCTGTCCTCTCCTCCCCTACTATCTCTCTCTCTCTGTGTCTGTCTCTGTCTGTCTCTGTGTCTCTGTCTCTCTCTGCTCTCTGCATGTGCTTCTTCCCCAGGCCTGGTTCTCTTGCCCTGCCCTTCCTCCTCATAAAGTTCTGATACTGGGTTTTGTTGTGGCTCGTGCCTCATGACCTTTCTGCATCATAACCAGTGCCACTTATCGGGTTTTTTTATTTTTGTTTTTTTTGTTTGTTTTTGTTTTGTTTTGTTTTGTTTTAAAACAACACACTGGACAGTCAGAGACCTTGAAGTGTCTGGAGGAACACATTTCATATCTCTATGGCTTCTCAGCTTCACCTGAATGTTCTGCTCTTCTAGGCACTGCCAGTGAAGCCAGCATGGCAATCAGATCTCCTGGCTGCCCCACACCTGACACTCGCCTTCCCAATAACCAGGTGAAGTATTATTTTCTGTTTGGTCACCAGCAGAAGGGCCTCAGAGCAGCCACCCCCTTCTGACCCGTCTACCATGGGATTTGTCAGGAAATGAACGAGAGCCCAAAGGAAAAAAAACCCTCTGCTTTGGAGATTTGACAAAATGAAAAACAACTGGTGCCAGGTGGTGGTAGTACACACCTTTAATCCCAGCACTTGGGAGGCAGAGGCAGGAGAATGTCTGAGTTCCAGGACAGCCAGAGCTGTTACACAGAGAAACCCTGTCTCGAAAAACAAAACAAACAAACAAACAAAAAAGCTGGGGGATTAGAGTCTCCCTGTGAAAAACTTGCCCACCGATTGCCTATATCAACGACTCCTAACCTAACTTCCCTGCAAACTGGGCTTCGGACCTCTGTCCTCCCAGTCAACCAGCTTCTTCCAATAGCTTCTTCCCTCACCTGGAAGCCGCCTCTCCCCATCTAACTGACCTGCCTGTGCAGCCAGTCTTGGGCTGGGTAGCCACAGAGCTGGGCGTACTTGCTGTTGGTACCATCACTAAGGAACCAGGCACAAGACACTAGCTCCTGGATGAAGTCCTCACTAGTGGGTTAAGTAAAGAATGAGACTGTGAGAGAGGTGAGCCATGAACATAATGTCCC